GTTTCATTAGTAAAAATTTGGTTACGGCAATCGATGTATATTTTTAAAATACTTAAAAGAATCACTTGGTTTGTCGAGATGAAACGATCGTTTTTCATTTTGAAGAATCGAAGAAAAAAAAATTACTAAATCAATTAATACCTTATAAATATTATTATTATGATCCTAATCATGATGAATTGACAATCTCACATGATTTCGAAACTTTTTTGGGTGGCGATTTTACCCCGGTCGTAAAATTAGCCCAGAAACAGATTTCAATTAATAGGCGGCCACGAGTAAAATTCGAGTAATTTTGCCTAAATTTTTGATCGTTGTCGTTGGCCAATCAAGAATTATATAATAGTTAGCAAAAATAGCTAGTGAAATTAGCGAATTTAACAAAATATGTAGCTTATTGTAAATTTATATTTATTAAGTATAAATTTTAATGCAATCATATTTTTCTTCAGCGAGTTCTTTATTTATCATTTCAATGAGTTCTCCGGTCATCATCTAAAATATGCATATAATTACTCGTTTATGTAAGTCAGTTCAAGAACAAAGGTAATAATCATATGTTTAGTGCAAAAGTAGCAAATTTCGCATCTTAGCGCAAGACAATTGTTGCTAGCTATTTTGCTAAAAAATAGCTATTTTAGATGTTACAAAGAAATGTTATAGATTGTACTTATATACTTTACAAACACTCAAATTTAAGTTTCTATTTTTTCTAAGCAGTAAGTAAACCCAAACTAGACCAACTCACAAATTTCTGGGCTTAATCTGGCCCATTTCATATGCCACATGTAATATATAAGATTAATGTTAATTTAATTGTTAAATTTTATTAATTTATTATTATATAGAATATATAATGTATAAAAGAATAAAATAACTTATTGATATACAAGTTTTGTTAATAACAAAAGAGTGATCAAATATATAAAATAAAATATATTTACTATTAATATCAAAATAAATCAGATTTATAATACTTTCAAGATTTTTTTTTTTAACCAGAAAGATAGGCAAATGAATAAATAAATAATAAATAAATAATGATATAAATGAATTCTAAGATACAGAAAAAATTGAAATTAATTTTACAAATGATGTAATTGAAATGAACATGATTTTTTTTTTTTTTGAATTTATATTATGTCTTAATAACCATTAATAAATAATTCGTTCTTAAAAACACATAAATTTGCTTTTTCTTGACATGAGTTGTTCCATTTGACTTTCGAGTTGTACACGTGCTTTTTCTGCTCGTTCCTTTGCTTTTCGTTCTTCTTCCAATACATTCTCCATGACTTTCTTTTCTTCTTGTACAGTGGATTTTGCTTTTTCCATTTGATCATTTGCTTCGCTCAATTGTTTGCGTAGGCTCTTTATTTGATCAAGATATTCCGTTTTTTCGCGTTGTAATACTAAAAGTTGTTGTTTTGCTACACGCAAATTGGTTTCATTATCATTTATTGAAGCTTCAAGAGTTGACACGAGTTGTCGACTTTGTAGGTTTTCACCTTCAATTTCTGAGATCTTTTTGTGTAGTCTCTGAATTTCTAATGAAAGGTCTGATGACGCTATTGAATCTGATCTGTTTCGTATACGAGATGTAGAGTTTTGAGGAATTGGCGGTAAAGGCTGATTTGGTGGTGGCACTGGTGGTGGTTTAGTAAGGCTTGGATGTCGTGAACCTTTCTTGTTATTGGCATCCGATGAATTAGATGATGACGACGTTGTTGACAGACGTGTACCACCAACGGCATCCAAATCTGGTCCAACATATGAACTTCGATCATCATAAGATCGATTTTCAAGTTCTGTAATCTTTTCTTGAAGAGTCTTGATTAGCATGTTTTTCTGTGTGATAGTGTCATCTTGACGACTGATTTTATTTTGCATAGTAAGGCCATCTCTACTAGGACGCCTTACAGCCGGTATAGCATGACTAACTCTGTCAATATTTGGAATATTACCACCCATCTCTTTGATCTCTTGTTCTAAACGATTATTATGTTCTATCAAGTGCGCAATCTCTTTTTCCATATCTCTAATTTCATCCAAAGAGTCTTGTTTTAACTGAGCATGCTCCTTTTCGAGTTTAGCAATTTGTTCATTTAATCGCGATATATGTTGAGCAGCTTTGTTTCCACCAACAGAACGTAATTGTTGCATTAATGATTCGATCTTATGATCAAGTTTACCACGTTCTTCAAATGCGGTTTCATTTGCTTGTTCTAGTAGATCCTTATCGGATTGAAGTTCTTGAATTTTTAATTTTAGACTCTCAACAGATTCTTCATTGATATTAGTTCTTCCTGATCTCAATTGAGCCAATTCTTCTTCCAATATGTTGATTTTGGCATTTAATTCCGAGACACGTTCTTCCGCTTTGGAAATCTTAATATTGAGGCCATCATTGATCTGTCGCAATTTTTCATTTGCAGAAGCAAGTTCAGCAAGAGCCGGATTGGTAGATCCAGAACCACGTACAGAACTCCTATCAGTTGTGGAAGTGACTTTCTGGGTCTCTGCAAGAGCAGTTTCCAATTCAATGATTCGTTGCTTTTGCTGTTTTGATAACGTATTAGTATCTTCAAATTTGGCTGCAGTCTGTGAAAATTCTTCAGCCAATGTTTCAAGATCTTTTTGAAGTTGTTCAACTTGTTGTTCAAGAGTTGCGTTTCGTTCAAGGCTTTCCGTCCTATCAGACTCTAGCTGTTTAACTTTCTTTTCCAAAGTCACAACTTGATCCCGATGAAACTTGGCTTCGCTGTGGACCTGTTTAAGTTGATTGGTAAGATCTTCAACCATAGTATCATCAACATTTTCATAACTCTGGATGACAGAATCCCATTGTGCATCTTCAAGTTCTTTTTGTAATTGATTACATTTATCACTAAGTGACTCGATTTCTTTATTTGCCTTTTTAAGTTTGGACGTTTCTTCAACACGATGTGCCTCAGCTTCTTTGAGTTTAGTTTCCAGGAGCTTAACTTGTTCCATATGGTTTGTTTCTGAAGCTTTTATTTTTGTAAGTTCTGCACTGCTATTGTTTGTATTTTGTAACCTGGAAGTCACTTCTGCAAGTTTGGCTTCTAATTTATTTTCACGTCTTGCCGCATCTTCTTCAGACGCTTTTGATGTTTGAAGTTCTAATTGTGTTTTTTGTATAACCGTGTCCAATTCTGAGACCATAACATCAAGGTTAATGATACTTTCTTCTTTGTCCGTTAAAATATTAAGAGTATTCTTTAATTTCTTTTCCAACTCATTAATAATATTTGAACGTCTTTCATCGGAAGCCTTAGCATCATTTAATTGTGAACGCACAGTAGCAAGCTCTTCTTCAAGAGTTGCAATTGTTTTTTTGCTCATGGAGGAATCCTTGGCCACAGTAAGTTCAGAATCTAAATTTGCTAAAGTGCATTCAAGGTTCCTAATGGCATCCTTTTGGCTAGATTCTTTTTCTTTAAGAGCTTCTGTTAACTCTTGAATGCGTTGGATACTCTGATTACGTTCTTTGTTCATATTACTTATCTGAGAATCAAGATCGGCAAGAATCTCGTTTTGAGCCGCCATCTCAAGTTTAGTATTTGCTAGTTCTGATCTTAAAGCGCCAACATTTTCATTGCCAGCAACTCCTGCTAGTTTAAATGTTTTGATTTCAATTTCCAAAGTTTTGACTGTATTCTGTGCATCATCACGTTCTTTTTGAGTTTGGTTTATCAAATTGGTCATTTCTTCATGATCATATGATTTAGCGTCAATATTCTTTATAGCTGCCAATTGTTCTCTTAGAGAATTTACTTCTTTTTCGAGGGAGATTGCCAAGTCCTTTTGAATAACAAAACCTCCTTTCATAGTTTGAAGTTCGTTAACAGCTGCTTCTTTAGAAGTTCTAAGCTTACTAAGTTGCGCTTGCAATTGCTCAATTGTGGATTTTTGCTCAGTTTCTAATTCCTTTAAGAATTTAACTTCTTCTTTAACCGTACCAAAAATTTTAGCCTCTTTCTGTGCTGTTGCAAGTTTTAATTCATAATCCTGTACAGTTCTACGCATATCAGATTCTGAAGCTTTCAATTTAGCGATTTGATCTCTCAATGAAGAAACATTGGGATCTTCATCGTTGACAAGTTCTAATCGTGTTTCAAGGGTTTCAATTTGTTTACGTTGTTCTCGTTCTATAGCTCTCATTTTCTCTAACTCTTCATTAAGTTTGTTAACCTCATTTAGGTCCTTAGTATCGTGTTCCTTTAATTGATATTCCAATTCATTTATTCTTTTCAAATATTCTGTTTCTTTAGTTTTCAACTCATTTATTTCACGTCGATATGCGCTTATTTGAGACTTATCCTCAGCCTTACGCAATTTTGCTTCAAGACTTTCGATTATATTCTTTTGTGTTGCCTCAGATTCCTTTGCTAACAACAAATCATTTTGGAGTTGTGCAATATCACATTCAACGTGACTTCCTTGCTCTGAAAGTTTACTTTCCAAAATTGCTATTCTTTCTCTTTGCGTTATTTCCACGATTCGTAAACGTTCTAATTCATCTTGAAGTTGATTTTCCTCAGGATCGGAACCTAATTTGGCTTTCAATACTCGAAATCTTTCAAGTGCAATAGATTCTTTTTCACGAACTTCTATAATTTCTTTTTTCAGCCTATCTAATTCTTCTTGAAGAATCTCATTTACATCTTCTCCACTTTCTAATCTACTTAAGTGTTCTCTAAGTTTTTTGGTTTCATCTTCATATTCTTGCTCTTTTTTGTTAACTTCCATGAGTTTTGTTTTGAAAATAAGTGCTTCAGCCTCTTTTTCCCTTAATTTTTGCTGTAGCATACTCTTATCAGCAAGATCTCTCTTCAAGATTTCGATAAGTTCGTATTTGCGTTGAATATCTGATTTAAGCAGGAGAAGTTGTTCTTGAAGCGCTGTTACAATTTCTTGTTCTTCATTTAAATTTTCGATAGTATTTGTTTTGAGAACTAAATCATGTTGCAAGATGGCTAATTTTTCTTCAAGACTGTTTATGTTTGTTCGTGTTGGATCAATATCAAAATGAATTGAAGTTCGAGGTGTTGGAATATGCTGTGCTTCTCTTGCTTTGTTCAATTGTGATTCAAGATCTTTAACTTTTTCTTCAAGAGTTTGTACATGTTTGTCATAAGTTTGCTCTCTAGCAACAGAATATTCAGAAACATCAATTCCTCCATCTTCAAATTCTTCTGCGATTGAAGCTAACTGGCTTGATTTTTCTAAAATAGCTTGTTGATGAGCTTCTCGAACTTTTTCAAGTTCATCTTCAAGTCTGCGAATTGTATTTTGATGTTCAATTGATGGGAACAATAAGGCAGCTATTGTATGACTCTTTGCTTCAATTTCATTTTGAAGTTTTTCGACTTGCTGTCTAAGTTCAAAATTTTCCATATCCGGTTCTATTTTATTGTTACCCTCGAGACGAGAAGCAGCATCTGCGATATAAAACTGTCGTTTAGCTTCTGATAATTGTTCCTCAAGTGATTTTATTGTTAATTGCATTTCTTGGACTTGTTCATCATTATTATCATCAGGTGCAGTATCAGAGACTTTGGAATTCTTTAAGGCCTGTTCTTCAAGTAATTTCTGCATTTCAGATTTAAGATCTTTTATAGTGGCTTCTAATTTTTTAACATCATCTTTTCCACTTTCTTCACGTTCGTAAATACTTTCCAAAGTCTTTCGTTGCTCTTCTTTGAGTTGTTCAACTTCTTCACGAAGACGATGAACAATCTCAAGTTGATCAACTTCACTAGCTGATGTAGAATATTCGTTGTTAGTATACTCTGATCCCATGGCGGACATGACTTCCATTTGGGCAAGAGCATCCCTTCTTTTTATTTCTTCACGAAGTTCTTCAACAATTTCAAGAGCTTCCCGATGATTAATCTCAAGACGAGCAAATTCCTGTTTAACAGCATTAAGACCTTGATTTTTATCTTCATGAAGCGATTCAAGTTGTTTTAATTCAATTTGAAGTCTTTGAATAATAGCAGCATTAGAACTATCGCGTTTTTCTATCCCTTTGAATTCAGAAGATAGAGATTTAGCTTTACGATGGGTTCCATGAGTGGATGGCGATAAAGACTTTGGATCCATATCTGCAAGTTCTCCAAAAGATGTTCCGGT